CCACTACGAGATGTCGACAATAGTATATATTGTAATTGGTAATATTATGTCATTTCCATAGGAATGATTTTCTTTTATGTAAAACGCCTTTAGGCGTATCAATTTTTTCAAGAAAGGTTGTACACCCAGAGAGTGACGCAAGTTATGTACTTTCAAAAACCGTTAGTCGTTATTGACCGATATTGAATAAAACGACCAACGGTTTTTTTTTTGAATTATTAGCACTCTCATTTTTCCTTTATAAGTGAAGTTGAATACGATATAAATTAAAAGAATATTGACGCACCCATAAGTTAATATATCTCCTTTCGAAATTCATTGTTAGAAATAACGAAATAATTTTCCAAATTGAGTATGGCGTATTCACCACCTAATTCAACTCTATGGAAATTGTTAGGTAAAATATTCCATTCAGTGGATATGGACAATGCTAGTACCGTATGCCAACACAAAGGGCACTCAACACCATGTTATAAATACGGACCCAATTCTTGTCATCCTTCATAGACGCCATAGCCGCATTCTTTATTATTTCTTGTCCTCCATGATTTTCTTGTTATTCTCCTGCTCCTGCAATGGTGTCATCTTTCAAATTCTCTCATTTTCTAAAATTTCAATTCACTATTTTTTTTTTTACATGGATTTTATACTATAGGGGACTACAGTGAGTTAGAAAATAATGGAGGAAAAAGCCTTCATTCTTCAGTTTCCTACACAATCTAGCTAGTTCTTTAGTTGATAGTAATTAGGTATGCTAGTTTTAATTTTTGTGGTATGTGCTTCAACATCCTTAATATCTGGATGAAGGGATTTTAGCCATGATACAACGTAAAGAAGAGGTCGCGTGAGGGGAGGGTTTGATTACTAGGTAGGGTGGATTGATAAATTTTGGTCTTAGTTTTATTATATCTTGTTCTTAACGGTACACTAGCATAGAAAAGACAATTCATATTTAAGTTTTGAGTTAGTTGCAGAGATACAGATAATGAATTTCAATAAAATTCCCTTTTTTATTTTTCTCTTTTACCTAGTTAACTGGATTTGGTATTATTGTGAATATGATCTTCTACATTAATTGCCATTGATTTCCTTATGTTTCTATGTTTTATGTGTCACATGCATTAGTTGGTCAATGGATCCTTTGAGGGGAGTAGTTGTTATGTTATCAATTGGTAGCACAATTAGCGTGCATGTTTCAAAAAATCAATATTCTGTTTCATTTGAATATTGTTACGGAATGGAATTTGATAATGTGATGACCGATATGTACATGATTGTTCATGTTTTTGGATATAAGATTGTTAATTTTGATGGATAACCCGAATACGAGTATTTGTTTCTCATCTTCATTAGTTGGGAACAAGCTCTTGGAAGGAGATCAAATCAGTTCCTTCTTGTAAAGTAACCGATATGAATGTATTTGTATATTGAGACACATATTGGTTAGGTATTCGGTCTAGAAGAGTTCGAGAAAAAATTTTATCTTCCATGTAAGCATATTGAATTTCGACTTCAAGAATAAGAAGTTTTGTGGGAACAAGCACTTGATATGGGAATGTTCCACAAAACTTCTCTTTCTTGAAGCTCAAAGTCCATATGCTTATATGGAAGATAATATTTTCTCGAACTCTTGTTGAGTAAATAGTTAACCAATGCATGTCTCCATATGCAGATACCTTCTTATGGGTTTACAAGGAGGAACTGATTCTCTCTCCTTCCATGAGCTTGTTCCCAACACATGAAGATGAGAAACCAAATACTTGTACTCGGGTAATCCATCAAAAGGAACAATCTTATATCCAAAAATACGAACAATCTTGTACATAATAGTCACATTATCAAATCCGACGCCGTACCAATATTCAAATGAAACAGGATTTAGATTTGCCGAAACATGGACGCCAATCGTGCTATCAGTTGGGAGCATAACAACTTCTCCATTCAAATGATTTATTGGTCAACTTCTGCATGTGACACATAAAACATTGAAGGATCAGAAAACTAATGACAATTAAAGTAGGAGATCATATACACAATAAAACCCAAATACAGTAAGCTAGGTAAAAGAGTGCATTTTATCATGGCTAAAACACCCTCATCCAGATACTCAGGATGTTGAAACACAAACAAGAAAAATCAAAATCAATTAACTATCAACTGAACAACTAGCTATGATTGTGAAGATATTCAAGCTGAGCTAAACAAAATCACAAAAACATATTTCTGTCATTTGTGTGCCAATTCGCAGTAAAAGGGTTCTCCCAGAATGTGAATCTCCTCATACTTCTCCTTCGATGGAATGAGTCTCCATTTGATGCAATTGGTGCCCTGCACAGGGAAAGCCCCAATGCCAAAACCCTAGTTGGATGATTGAATAAAAATGATGTACGGGTCATCAAATGGGTGTGTTTGCATTCCCAACATAACGATTAATATTCAATGTTCAAGAGAGTACTCTGGGTGTAGATCTACAAATGAAATATGAGTTTTCTTTTTTTGTTTTTTTTGTTTTTTTTCTTCAAACAAATGATATTATCAACACTAAAGGAGGGGGGGGGTGAGTTTAGCCTAACAATAATATAGTTCAAATTTGCATTTGGCGAGAATCAAACCTAAGACTTCTCACTTACGAGTAAAGAGTACCACTAGACTTCAGTACTAAGTGGCGAATGAAATATGAGTTTAAATAGAAAAAAAAAAAGGCACACCTCATTAACAGAAACATTGTCACTTAGTACTACAGTCTAGTGATATTCCTCACTTGTAAGTGAAAGGTCTTAGGTTCAATTCTTGCTAAAGGCGAACTTGAACCACATTATTGCTAGCCCATTGTGAGACTAAGCCCATCCTCCCTAATGTAGATAATATCTTTTGTTCAAAAAGAAAGAAAATACACATTGCAGAGATTAAGTACACATAATGATTTTGTATGGTAAATTATTATTCGATAATATATCAATGGATTTTGGACAAATACTTGTTCTTGGACTAGAAAACCTAAGAATGGAGGGGTTTGTTCAATTATTTTCTAACTCACTTTTATTCCCGTGTAGTCTAAAATTAATGGGAAAAAGTGGAGAAAAGAGAATTTGCAAGATAGCACTATTGCAGGAAAAATCCTAGAGATAAAAGAAAAACTAAAGATGTGTTTGTGATTTCTATGAAGGATGACAAGAATTATAGTGCTGGGTCTGTATTCATAACATGGTGTTGATTGCCCTTTCTGTTGGCATACAATACTAGCATTATCCACATCCACTGAAGGACATATTTTACCTAATAATTTCCCATATAAAGTTGAATCAGGTGGTCAATATACCCTGCTAATTGTGGAAAATAATATAGTTATTCTTCGCAATGAATTTCGAAAAGAAATTAACTTTTGAGTTCGTCAATATTCTTTTAGTTTATACTGTGTTCAACTTCACCTATAAAGGGAAAAGAGTACTACTTATTAGAAAATTGTTGGTCTTTATTTACTAATTATGTAATTTTGAAACCAAGGACACTCGCCCACGCGTACTTTTTCTTTTCCCTTTCACAAGACCACTAATGAGTGTTAGGCACAATTACAAATTATACAAAAGTTGATTTTAGCTCAATTCTCATAGAGTATTTGATTTTCTTTATATTGGATTAAAATAAGTTGCATTTTGGCTGGGTGTATATTAAAATGCTTCTCTTTAGTATAAATAGAATATTTCTTTTTTTATATTTCTTTTGAATTCCTCGTCTTGCAACCCCTCTTTTAACCAATTATATTTTGAGTTCAAACTCTTTCTTCTCCTTAGTTTACGTTAATATAGAATATTGCTTGTATGAAAAGAAGAAAAAGGGAATTATTATTATTATTTTCCTATTTTGAAATTCGAATCTGGAACCATGATGCCCGTGCAACATAAAATTAGAAAATGAGATGAAAAATTAACAAAAATTTCATACGAATAAATAATGTAAAACGCAAATTTCTATGTTGTCTTACACTACTACAAGAAAAATTGCCAATAGCTATGGAGCAATCGTGGCTGTTGTTAGAGACTTAGAGTAGCTATCACATGTTTTTGTGTCGTAGTCCTACTGATGATTATCTCTAAGCTGCAGATGGCAACTAGCTAGCATAGCAAGAATGACCAAATCAACTAGTGCAGTTCTTTGACCCAATCAGCTGCAGATAGCAACTAGCAAGAACGACCAAATGCTTGCATTCAAAACTTGGAAGATAATGTAAGGATGTCGCCGGCTCTAACCAATTGAAAATGTGAAACAAACAAGTTAGGACAAAGAATATAGCCTTGAGAATAAGATGCCGGTCATTTATACATAGAGTAATACACACTTGTGGTTTTTTAAACTCAAGTTTTGCACCAAAGACGGCTGCATGCTGACCCAGTCTCTACCCTCCACCCTAAAAACACTACATCAGGCTTTCTAATGATTTCAGTGCTGTTTTTTAGTACAAAGATATTCATTAGATAAATTTAACTATTAACGATACAATAAAGACGTGTATTAAGACATGAATCTCAATTGGAATTCTAAAACAACTCGAAGGCATTATACTAAAGCTGACAAAATTCGCACAGAAATAACTAAAAATACACAGATACAAAATTTAGTATAACACGTATCCAAGCTCATGCACCCCAAAACAATTAATTAGACCACAATGCTGAATCATAACTATAACCACAAATCGAAACTGTACCATTATATAACCCAACACATGTAACCAAGAAGTACCTGTGGAACAATGAGTGAATGTAAAAAGGAATCAGTCTTCAACAATCTCTGTGTGCATAAGAAATAGGAGTCGCTTTAAAGTTAAACAAGAAACCAACCACTTCAAATATAAACAAATACTCAGCCAAATAAAAATGTAAAACAAATAGATATTAGTTTTTTAACATGTCTCAGCAGAATAGACAAACTCTCAAATGAAGGGATATTGAATTCCTTGTCTGAGGACTATAAAATTCCTAGGAAAATGAATTAGGGTTTGAGGTCCTTAAATAAGAAACCATCGGAACAACATCTTTTTGACGAGAATAATACAAAGATCAATCAACCATGGAAGTAGATTTCCAAGGATACATCATACTTTTCCTCGTGTGGCTAGTCTCCACAGTTTTGGTCCGAATCATGCTCACCAAATTTCGGACCAAGCCTCGCCTTCCACCAAGTCCGATGGCCTTGCCGATCCTCGGACACCTCCACCTCCTTGCTCCAATACCTCACCAAGCTCTTCACAAGCTATCCAACCGATATGGGTCTCTGATTCACCTCTTTCTTGGTTCCGTCCCCTGCGTAGTTGCTTCCACGCCAGAGATGGCGAAAGAGTTCCTCAAAACTCATGAGGGTTCTTTCTCCAACAGGCCCTATATTTCTGCTGTTGATTACCTCACTTACGGATCAGCTGATTTTTCATTTGCTCCTTATGGTCCTTATTGGAAGTTCATGAAGAAACTATGCATGTCCGAGCTTCTTGGTGGAAGGACACTCGATCAGCTCCTTCCAGTCCGTCGTGAAGAGTTGGCGAGTTTCGTGCAACTGCTTCTGAACAAGGCCAAGGCAGCCGAGCCAGTTGATGTTGGCGCAGAGCTTATGACGGTGACAAATAACGTCATATCGAGAATGATTATGGGGCAGAGTTGCTCTTCGAACGAAAAAGAGGCTGATGAGATCAGAAAGCAGGTGAAAGCTATTGCTGAGTTGACGGGGAAGTTTAATTTGTCGGACTTCATATGGTTTTGTAAGAATTTGGATTTGCAAGGGTTTGGGAAACAGCTTAAGGAAGTGCGTGACAGGTTTGACGTTATGATGGAGAGGATTATCAAGGAGCACCAAGAGGAAAGGAAGAAGAAGGAAGTTGGCGAAGGTGGCGGTGATGCAGTTAAGGATTTACTTGACATTTTACTCGACATAGCTGAAGATGAAACCTCGGAGTTTAGATTGACAAGAGAAAACATAAAGGCATTCATCCTGGTAAATAGTTCTGAATTAATTTGACTCAAATCTTACACTGCCTATTAGTAATTTATTGCTCATTCACTGATAGCTATAATGCCTCTAATTGTGAAGGATTTCATTAATAACTAATATGTATTTGTTAAATGACAACTATAATGATCTAAACATGAGGTCATGCAATCGAAATTTTTTTACATTCATCCATATTGAGTATACATTTGCTGAATTTAACGGTTGAATGTACGTTCACGAATCTAAGGGACGGAATTTAATGAGTGGATCGAGCCACTTAAATGGCAATGTATATACTTTACCTTGTCGTATGGTAGAAGGACTCATGTGCACATATTCTTTTCCGTATGGTTGGATGTTATAAGCCAAAATCACTATGAGTTTCTAAATGCTATGTGCATATGTAAATTAATGAAGCGATTGTTGATATATATTTGTTACATATTCGCAGGATATATTTTCTGCTGGAACCGACACATCTGCAATCACGACAGAATGGGCACTAGCAGAACTAATCAACCATCCAGATGTGATGCAGAAAGCAAGACAAGAAATTGACACCATAATTGGAACAAACAGGCTCGTACAAGAATCAGACATTGCCAACCTTCCCTACCTACAAGCCATAGTGAAAGAAACCCTAAGGCTTCACCCAACCGGCCCATTAATCGTGAGAGAGTCCTCCGAATTTTGCACCATCGGCGGCTATGACATTCCCGCGAAAACAAGATTATTTGTGAATGTGTGGGCTATCAACAGAGACCCTAACCACTGGGAGAAGCCATTGGAGTTTGAGCCGGAGAGGTTTGTGACCGAAGAGGGAAGTGGGAAGAGCCAGTTAGATGTGAGGGGGCAGCATTTTCATCTGTTGCCATTTGGGAGTGGACGAAGAGGATGTCCCGGAACCTCGCTTGCAATGCAGGTTGTGCAGACAACACTTGCAGCTATGGTTCAGTGCTTTGAGTGGAAAGTTGAAGGAACTGTTGACATGGAAGAGGCAGCTGGATTAACACTTCCGAGGGCTCATCCTTTGGTTTGTGTTCCAGTGGCTAGGTTCAATCCCGTTCCATCTTCCTGAATGATCATTCATAGAGAACCTTGTGTGTTTTACAAGCTGTCACTGAAAGAATTCAAATGTATTATTAAATACTTTATCAAATACTGTGGTTCTTCCTTTTGCACCTTTCCTTCCCTTCTGAGAATTTGACTTCTCAGTTGCATTCATCTGCTCTATCATCAAGTCAATGGATTCACCTCATACATGTTGCCTTCCGATCTCCTTCTGAAAAGAAGAATTTTTCCACAGTTACCTCTTCTAACTGTAAAAGGCACACATTGTATCCTTTGTTTACACATGGAGAAAATCTTATGTACCGCAGCCGTAGTGGCTACTAGGACAACTCTTACATTGAACTGTCGTAAAATCAGATGAGACAAAAATATAAGCATCTATGTTTTATGGAGATGCGTCTTACATATAACGTGTTCAAACACCCTATTAAAAAGTTTCTCTCAGATATGCAGTTGCGGTCTTTATAGTAGCAGACTCACTAACATATATAGCATAATCAAATGCAAGATGAGTATAGATATGAAAAAATACAAAAACTACACGAATATCTACAAATCGTTGTGTATTTTTGCATTTAAAACAAGTTTGAAAGATCAGATTTTATATCTTTATCTACACATTAATATCTTGATGCGCTTAAAGTCAAGTGGTAACCACACCCGAATACATAAATTTATGAAAATGTCAATAACAGTTGAACAAAACATATCAACAGATAGAAACCATATTCCAGGTGCAAGAATAATCGGTGGATTACAAAAAAAGATTATGAAAGTAAAAAAGTGTTATTTCACATTCCATTAGCCTTATAAAAGTGGAATTTAAGATTTGTGGTAGTCTGTGGGCCAAATTTAAGATTATGTAAACCCCAACAAGAAATTGACAACCTCATACTTGATCATGACAAGTTGACAGCGAGAGGAGGTCGAATTCATTAACAAATTTTGGGGGTTTTCCACTGCCAAACGCAATTAAACTTTTACGAAAGAAGAAAATAAACGCGTGCTTGGATTTGGATGGAAACTGCTTTAATTTCTTATCTATAAATTATCTTGGTGCTTCACCCATAAGAATTTGCTCGTTGGGTTTTCCCTCCACTGACTGTATTTTGAACTCGACATGTGTTTATGGAGTTCGTCTTATTTTAGTTTATTTGACAAATGATTATTTTTAACCTGAAACTATCTTATCAATTAGTAAGCTCACGAGAAAAATGACTAGTTTTTCGAGCGTAAATTTTTTTATTTACAAGCTGATATTCTAATATACTGTATAACTAAGTGGTTGTAACCTTTAAATGAGAAAACTTGAAATTAAATTGAAAAAAAAATTGCAAGTGAATTTCCCTAATTTTTTGGTAACTGAAATTTATTGATCATCATTTACTTAAGAGATCTTAAGTTCGAGACGAATTTGAACAATATTATTGCTAACTCATTTTGAAGCACGTTTGTGCAAAGTAAGAAAAAAAAAAAAAACTAATGCCGAACCAAGGAATATTCCCATGACAAAAAACACTCCCAGCTTAATTTTGTCTAATTTTGTTTTGTAAATTTTAACACAATAATGTGATGAAGCCGTTGGCGTTGCATGTAAAACAGTAAATCCTTCTCCTTGAAGCTCTTGCCATCACAAAAAGCACTGCCCCCAACCCACCGTCTCAATCCCATGTTTACTCTCAGCCCACATTTTTTGTTTTTGTTTTTGGTTTTGGTTTGATAGGCCTCCCTCTCTTGCTTCCCCCTCTCCCCTTTCGCTTTCGGATTTTGGATCCCCTCCACTCTCTCACCACCCCTTCTTCTCCCATCTCCTTTGGTCTCACCAATTCCTTCCAGTTTCCCATTGATTTTTCACCATCCGTGCCTCTCGATTCACAGTCGCCATAGTTCTTGAGTATTTATTTCAATTGTTAAGTAATCCCTAATCTGTTCATCCCCAAATCATGTTTTTCAGATGATGAAATCCACAAATACTTATTCCCCAACATTCTGGATTCTTCTTTGTTTCTGAAAGTGTGCATATAATTTCATCTGGGTTTTGTTCAAATTGATAAAAAAACCGAACTTTTGTGAAAATTTTGGTGTTTGAATTTCTGCTTTTCTCTCAAAAATGGTGACTGTGAATCTGGGAATGCTTCATTATGTTCTGGACCAGTACGGTGCGTTCATGCACAGAACAAAGATTAGCCCTCAATTTTTTTCGAGAGGGTGGGGCGGCACAAAGCTTGAGCTGCTTGAGAGGATGATAAATCAGCTTTTTCCAGAAGCAGCTGGCCAGAATTGGCCTCCTGCTGTGATCCAACCAACTTGGAAAACTGTTTGGGAGAGCAAGACGGCTTCTCTCAGAGAAGGGGTTTTCCGGACGCCTTGTGATGAGCAGCTTCTCAGTGCATTGCCTCCTGAGAGTCACAGTGCAAGAGTTGCGTTTCTTGTTCCAAAATCGGTTCCTCCTCAGAGGATGGCCTGTGTCGTTCATCTTGCAGGTATAATTACGGTTCATATTTATTCACCGTGTGATAAATTAGGAATGAGGATATCCGGGGTAAAGTAGGAGTAGCCGAAATTGAAGGAAAGATGAGAGAAAATCAGTTACGGTGGTTTGGACATGTGCAAAGAAGGCCTACTGACGCTCCGATTAGAAGATGCGACTATGGGACAGAGGTTCAGGGCCGAAGGGGCAGAGGAAGACCTAGGAAAACTTTGGAAGAGACCCTAAGAAAAGACTTAGAGTACTTGGATCTAACGGAGGACATGACACAGGACAGAACACAATGGCGTTCTAAGATTCATATAGCCGATCCCACTCAGTGACTTGGATTTTCCAAGTCTCCAACCGAGAAGTTTTTCCTCATTCGGGAAATTAAGGGAACACTACCTCAACCTATATGCTCCACTCACAAAGCTTCAACATACAAGCTTCAACAAAAGAAAAATTCAAAGAACTTAGCGAAGAAGGCTTTGGTGTATTTAACACAATACGTTGAAATGAAGGAAAGCTTATTTATTGATATCCCCGATAAGTTACAAATATGTACATATACTTGAGTCAAAATAAACAAACAAGAGGGAGCCTTCACAAAGGTTGCTTAGGAGAAGTCTCAGCAGTCGGTAGAGCCCCAGAAAGAGAAGGCACCGGAGGGGGATCATTCGGAGCCTCAGTCCTGGACAAAACCCTAGAAGGAGGAGGCATCAGAGATTGATCATTTGGAGCTTCATTACGCGGTACAGCCCCAGAAGACGAAGGCAATAAATGCCTTTGGAACAAACCCACAAATCTCTGATGATCAAGTAAAACCTGACCATCAGATTCCTTCATCTGGTCAAGCTTTCCTCTTCATGTTTGTAGCATAGTCATGTGCGAGCCGGTGCAACTGTTTATTCTCATGCTTGAGCCCTCTAATCTCCTGTTTGAGACTCATCACTTCAGCCGCCAATGATTCAACTTGGCGGGTTCGAGCAAATAGGCGTTGGGCCATATTAGACACAGAACCTGCACACTGAACACTGAGAGCCAGAGAATCCTTAACAGACAACTCATCAGACCGTTTGGAAAGTAGTCTGTTATCTTTGGGAGTGAGAAGGTTCCTGGCCACTACCGCAGCGGTCATATCATTCTTCATCACAGAATCCCCAACGGTAAGAGGACCAGTAGGGGAGACGAAGGATGGGCGCCATATGTTGTCTGGAGAAGGCGGGGCTGCCTCTTCAACAAGGTTCAAGTCAAAAACGACGGTCGGAGGGGCCAGACATTTTCAAAGGTGTTGAAAAAAGAGAAGAGGTCGGACAAATCAAGATCTTAGAAGTGCAAGAATGGAGCTTCTACTGGTGGATATTCAAGTGTGCTTTGGAACTTAATGTCAGCCCCTATAAAAATCTGCACTCGACGAAGCTTCAGAAATCGAAGAGGCGCCTGCTCAGAAATCGAAGAGGCGTTTGCTTTCTCAAAATCTGGGCTGCTCAGAGACCACGAGGGTCGATCTCAGAAATCGAAGAGGTGTTTGCTTTCTCAAAAGCTGGGCTGCTCAAAGACCACAAAGGCCGATCCCAGAAATAGAAGAGCCTTGCTTTCTCAAAAGCTGGGCTGATCAGAGACCACGAGGGCCGATTTCAGAAATCGAAGAGGCACCTACTTTTCCAGCCTTGTCAGCACCTGTCACACGCACACTCAGCTTTGCGGAAATTATGGGCATTTTGTCGAAGATTTCTGGCGAAGTAGAAAGCAGATGAATCGTACTGTTCAATCACCCACTTCCCACACGCAACAGTAGCTCATGGGTACCACAGATAACTTTGCCAAAGTTCTCTGACAAAGTTGAGACACGTGAAGCTTGCAGCTCCCACTACATCGCTCTGACCAAGAAGGGTAAAAGAATTGCAAAGAAACAACACTAACAAAGTTTAGACACATAAATTTTGAAGGTCTAGCTACCATATTATTACCCACAAGGGTAAAGGAACAGTACCACCGCTGGATAATTGGAAAGTCCCGGTGTGTCAACCTCTGTGCTTCGTGGCAAGGTAGACTAGCAAACATGCCCAACCTTTACTCACATTCGAGAAAACACTCCTAACAAGATTGCTTGCTTCAAAATCGAAGAGGCACCGCCCTCCGAATCTCGAGAGCCAGACTCCCAACATGATTACTTTCTCAAAAATCGAAGAGAGGGTAAAGGAACAGTACCACTGCTGGATAATTGGAAAGTCCCGGTATGTCAACCTTTGTGCTTCGTGGCAAGGTAGACTAGCAAACATGCCCAACCTTTACTCACATTCGAGAAAACACTCCCAACAAGATTGCTTACTCCAAAATCGAAGAGGCACCGCCCTCCGAATCTCGAGAGCCAGACTCCCAACATGATTACTTTCTCAAAATCGAAGAGAGGGTAAAGGAACAGTACCACTGCTGGATAATTGGAAAGTCCCTGTGTGTCAACCTCTGTGCTTTGTGGCAAGGTAGACTAGCAAACATGCCCAACCTTTACTCACTTTCGAGAAAACACTCCCAACAAGATTGCTTGCTCCAAAATCGAAGAGGCACGGCCCTCCGAATCTCGAGAGCCAGACTCCCAACATGATTACTTTCTCAAAAATCGAAGAGACACCGCTCTCCGAATCTCGAGAGCCAGACCCCCAACAGGATTGTTTTCTCAAAAATCGAAGAGGCATCGTTCTCCGAATCTCGAGAGCCAGACCCCCGACAGGTTTGTAATCTTCACACGCAACATCAGCTTTCCAGATACCACAAACCACTTTTTCAAAGTGCTCTGACAGAGTTAAAACATGTGAAGCTGGCAGCTCCCACTACCGTGCTATAACCAAGCAGGGTAAAGGAATAGCATTATTACTTGATGTTAGGGAGACTCCTATATATGTCGACTTCCATCCCTAACGGACAGGCAGACCTGCAAAAATGCTCAACCCTTTCTCTTATCTGAGAGGGCACTCCCAACAAAGCCTTTCGAAATATTCAGCTTTCTTTCCCCCCGATAATACCTCTGTAAACAAGCTATACTAGAGCAAGAATATCTCATATCATCAGGGTTAAAAGCAAGAGTATCCCATATCATGCTTTTTTCCCTGTCTTTTCCTTTGGCCTTGTTCTTACCTGCAAGACAAGGAGAAAAGAGAGCAATCAGTCAGCACTTGGCATCAAGCTTCCAGCCAGGAACTGACTGCCTGGAACCCCTTACCTGATTACTTACCTGGCATTGCTCTCGAGTACTCATCTTCAACATCTTATGCTTCCAGGGAAGATACCGCATCTGCCTGAGGAACAGATAGGGCAAGTGAGAAGGATACAAGGAAGCATGTGGAGACAAGCGTAACAGCACACGTGCCGATACATCCATTACTCTATCAAAAGCAAAAGTATCCCATATCAGCAGGGTCGAACGTACTCTAGATTTGATGGACTTGTTTTGACCCTCAAATTCTTCAGTCGGCCTTATACTCTGGAGGAAACCAGAAAACCCTCCAGCCCAGTTCAAGAATAAGCCTGTGGAAAGTTACTTCTTCAAAAGCAAAAGTATCCCATATCATCTCTCCTCATTTTTTCTTCTCTTTATCCTTCATGCTGCTTGCAAGATAGGGGAGAATGTGAACAATCAGCCGGAGCTCTGATTGCTTACCTTGTCTGTCACCTCTTTCAGCAGATCCCCCAGCTCGGCGACTTGGGGGACTCCTACTACATGGTTTGTATCTCGCTTGACCAAGCATGAAACTACAAGTAAGCTTCAAGTGAAATTGATACATTACCTTGTGCATCTCCACCAGTTACAGATACCACCCCTGGATGGAGGAAGAGTACTTCCAGAGAAGATGCCACATCTACCTATGAGACAGATAAAGGCAAGTCAAGACGATACCACACTCCGGTACTTAGAAGTTTCGTGGCTACGAGATCATTCTCCCACAATATTTCCTAATGTCATTTGTACTAAATCATTCACTTGTACTCACTAAAGGAGAGCTTGAACCTATGTACTTGTGTAAACCCTTCACAATTAATGAGAACTCCTCTATTCCGTGGACGTAGCCAATCTGGGGGTGAACCACGTACATCTTGTGTTTGCTTTCCTATCTCTATCCATTTATATACTTATCCACACTAATGACCGGAGCAATCTAGCGAAGATCACAAAAAGTGACCGTTTTCGCTACCTAGGATCTATCTTGCAAGAGAACGGAGAATTAGATGGAGATCTCAACCATAGAATACAAGCTGGATGGATGAAGTGTAAGAGTGCATCCGGCGTGTTGTGTGACCGTCGTAGGCCACTAAAGCTCAAGGGAAAATTTTATAGGACAGCAATAAGGCCAGCGATGTTGTATGGCACAGAATGTTGGGCGGTGAAGCATCAACGTACACAAAATGGGTGTAGCGGAGATGAGGATGCTTCGTGGGATGTATGGGCACACGAGAAAGGATAAGATTGGGAATTAGGATATCCGAGGTAAAGTAGGAGTAGCCAAAATTGAAGGAAATATGAGAGAAAATCGGTTCCGGTGGTTTGGACATGTGCAAAGAAGGTCTACTGACGCTCCGGTTCGAAAATGTGACTACGGGACAGAGGTTCGGGGCCGAAGGAGTAGAGGAAGACCTAGGAAAACTTTGGAAGAGACCCTAAGAAAAGACTTGAGTACTTAGATCTAACGGAGGACATGACACAAATGAGCGCAATGGCGTTCTAGGATTCATATAGCCGACCCCACTTAGTGGGAAAAGGCTTTGTTGTTGTTGTTGTTGTATTCGTGTTTGATTTGGTTATTTACACCAATGTAGTATGGCAAATCATTAGTAAACTATTGGGAGGTTGGATTTACATTTACCGCTTCGATTTATCTCTAGCAATATGAACTTTGAGCCTTGCTTATTGATGAAATGTTCTGAAATATAATTTCAACCTGTTTTCTGCCTTTTGATTACAGTAGCAAAGGTTGGCAAATAGCGGTAACTTGGTACACCATGCATTGTGTTGAGCATTGAAATTTTAGAATTAGAAATCAAATGCTAGAAATACGTTTTGTTTATTTATTTTAAAATGTTTACAATTCAATTGGGTCTTTGTCTTCGACTTGTATACTTCTCTCAAAGAGTCTAATATTGAGTTTAAAGTGTTAACTAGTTTTGGGAAACTATACTTGGAACTGTTCTTGTTCCCTTGGAAGATTGAGGAACATGGCCGTCGAATGTACTTGGTTTGGTTCTCTCAACTATATTATTGCTGCAAAGTATATGATTGTGTGCGAAGTAATTTGTTCTTCTTTGGTTGGCTTTGTTAAGGAACACTGGGAGGAATTTCTTTGCTGATTTTCCATTTTGCAGGAACTGGGGACCATACATTTGAATGAACGTTACGTCTTGGTGGACCTTTGCTGAAGGAAAACATTGCTACTATGGTGCTTGAGAGGTAAATTATTCTGCGCAGCCAGACACCTTTTGTAACTGAAATCAGAGTTCTACATGGTTACTATTCGTACCTTCCAGCTTTTTGATTGAGGTGGATATGTTATGCAGCCCTTTCTATGGACAAAGACGTCCGGTGATGCAGCGTGGGGCAAAACTCTTGTGTGTCAGTGACTTACTTTTATTAGGAAGGGCAACAATTCAAGAAGCTCGCAGTCTCTTGCATTGGCTAGACTGTGAAGCAGGGTTTGGAAAGATGGGTGTCTGTGGACTTAGCATGGGTAAAGACCCAAATCCATCTCTTGCTATAGCTTTAAGTGTTTGAAGTTATTAGAAGTCGTTGCCATCTTTCTTTGGTTTAAAATTTGAAGTTTTTTTCTTTTTTTTTGGTTAAAACTTGAACTAGTTTTACTTTGTTTCTACATGGTTGAAAGTCAAAACTAAAGTATTAGTTCTGACCTTTGGAATAAATCATGAACTTTTCCTAGAAGTGGAACACTGGCACCCTTCATTTAATCACATTTCTTTTGGCCGAAAATATAATGCTTCTGTGGAACCTAGGAGGAGTACATGCTGCAATGGTTAGATCACTGCACCCTACACCCATCGCAACCCTACCTTTTCTCTCTCCACACTCTGGTGTTGTGGCATTCTGTGAGGGAATATTAAAGCATGCAACTGCGTGGGAGGCCCTGAGAGAGGATCTTGCGTGCAGAAGGCTGCAATGACTCTCAAGGAGGTGAGAGAGCGGATGCGCAATGTCCTGTCCCTCACGGATGTCACACGCTTTCCGATTCCAAAAAATCCCAATGCCGTGATATTTGTTTCTGCCACTGTAAGTATTTATTGTTGGAAAATTAGTCTATTACTGTTTTTATTAGTTTACTTGGAGGATAAGGATTAGGATTCCTTGACCATTTAGGATTTCTTGCCTATTAGGACTAGGTTTACTTCACCATGTATAGGAGTGCTTGTATTTTATTATTTTATTATGGACAAGTCAGTCACAATGTAGTCTTCGGAGTTGTAGCCTTCTTGGCCAATCTTGTAGTGCTTCTTCGTTTTCTATAATATTCGTAGTTTTATAATCCGTTGTACTCTGATTTTCAACTTTTATGAGGTTACCTTTCTACTTATTTGTTATTAACCCATCTTTAAGATTCTATCAACGTTTTCCCATTTCCTGCTCTTAATAACAACTTGACCATTGCATGCTACTCCGAATAAGTCATTGTGGAATGTAAAGTCTTGATTTTTGTGACTTGCTAGCTTTACAAGTTTTTTCCTTTAATTACACTTAAAGTTTCAGGATGATGGGTACATCCCGAAACACTCTGCTGGAGCTTCAAAAAGCTTGGCCGGGTTCAGAAGTAAGATGGGTCACTGGTGGGCATGTCTCATCGTTCCTTCTCCACGACAGTGAGTTCCGCAGGGCGATTGTTGACGGACTTGACAGATTGCCATGGAAGGAGTCTCCATTGTGACATTGGCAACACAAGTGAAGAAGACCCTACACTTATTCTGATGTGGTAACCTTCGCCTCTAATTTACGCCAAACATGTAAAAAACTGGATATAGTTGATATCTGAAACACCAGCATAAATAATGGGAAAACGAGTCATGAAATATTATTTCCTTATTTGTATGACCAAACACCCGTTTAAACAGCAACTATTCGAAAATTGCTGGCCAAATGTGCAGTTGTGGCCATTACTTGCAGCTTGGGAGTGGAGCACCGCACAAGCATCGGTTATGGAAATAAGAATACTCGTCGAAGCTCTGCAACTTTCCACCCACCGGAATCTGACCACACAGCCTGTTGTAGCTCACGTTCAGGAACTGGAAATTCAGTTGGGTAAACTCCACTGGGATACTCCCGTAGATCTTATTGTGGTTGATATCCAGCGAGGTCAAGCTTGTCGGAAACTCCACCTTTGACAGATTAAATTCCAGCAAGTTCCTGGACAGATCCACAATCTGCGTTGTCTTGTTCAGCCCAAATATCACGGATGCGTCACCTTCGAGCTTGTTCCGTGATAAGTCTATGCTGCCGAAGTCCATCTGGGCGAATGAGGTTGGAATGTTGCCAGAGAGCTGGTTGTGGGAGAGATACAGGTCTGGAACGTTGCCAATGAACTGCCCAAGCGATATCGGAATATGACCTGTGAGCTTATTGCGGTCTAGATGAAGAGCGTTGAGGTTTGGGAGCTGAGAAAGCGAGCTGGGGATGGCGCCGGTGAGGTTGTTGAAGGAGAGGTCGAGGAATGTGAGGTTCTTGAGTTGGCTGAGGAAGTCAGGGACAGAGCCTGAGAGGTTGGTCCAGCTGAGCCTGAGACTCTTGAGTCCTTTGAGCTTGGCAATGGCGGGTTGGATTGGGCCAGTGAGATTGGGTTGCTTGTGGAATTCAAGGGTTTCAAGGTACGGTAAGTCTCCGACTAGGGCGGGGATTTGGCCGGAGACCTGGCCGGCGAAGATGGTGAGGGAGTTGATGCGGTTTGTGGTGGAGTCACAGGTGACGCAGTACCAATCACAACAGTCAGTGTCTGATTTCCATGAGGTCAAGACGTAGGGGTCGCCGAAGGCTTTCTTGATTTGCAGGAGGACTTTTTTGTCGTCGGGGTTGCAGAGATCGGAGAGAGCGGGGTTTAGGACGGAGGAGAAGAGTAGGGTTAGGGAGAGGAAGGTGGAGAACTTGAGCTCCATTGTTTTGGGTTTTGGTTGGGAGCCTGAGATAGTGAATTTGTGGTTGAAGGAAGTGTGGACAGGTCATAGATCTGGTGCGCATTTAATCGACATCAAAAAGTAACATGCTTTGCTCCTTATTTCATTCAAACATGTAGTGTCTTTTGTGAAATTTTTACATCTCCTAAAGTTTGAGATATTCCTAATCTTTGAACGGTCAGATTTTTAATTAAAAATACAAAAATCAAGATGTATCGGTTATAAACCTGAAGTATACTTCAAAGCATCGTAGAATTTTGAGTGGATTTGTTAGTTTAATAGCAAAAATTGTCTCATTTTCTGAAGGCCTATGCTTTAGGTCTCATGATTATCTGAGTTGTTTGGGAAAGTAAAAGCGTAGGAATAAACAAAATTAAAGAGAACAAATGGAGCATGGTTTGGGAACCATGGTCAGCCAAAGCTGGATTGATAGAGATGAGGACCTAAGAGTTTCTCAAGATTACTCAGCTTCTTTTGACTGAAATAAGCTATGTTTGGAGGAGCGATTTGCAAGTACTACTAGATTTAGGACAAAATAATTAGAAATAATTGACAAAGATGTGATAGAGGCATTGAAATGCCCTACATGATTATTAATAATACACAAACAAATCTATATCACTCATGTCAAGCAGTCATTTTCATATTCATCCGTTACTTTGTTTTATAATGCATTTCTAACTAATTAAAATTCATTGGTATTCACAAATTCCTCATCCAAACATAACCTCATAAACAAAGAAATAGCCGACTAGCTATGTAGCAAGTTATTTTATTTTTTACGGACAGTTGTTGGCCACTCTTAAAAGATCCAACTTTATTCATATTAGATTGTCGGTGAAGTAGAATTGTTAAGAGTAATTTGTTATAAATAATTTTACGGTATTTGAAATCATATAATAACTAAGTTTTTGCTAGCGTTGTTAGAGATGCTCTAATCCAACATTTGCCAAAATTTCACGCTTCTATACTGTTATGACAACTTGAAAAGAAAAAAAAAGTCAAAAACGAAGGGTGTCTGCTGAATCCTTGTGGTCTGCGTGCTGTGATCTGGCAAAAGCAGATGAACCTCCACCACATTGTGCTTCACCAAGTGACTTCCACCCTTCCTCAATTGGCAACTGATGGCGGTGAATTGAGACTTAATTAAACCCAATAAACTTGTGCCTGTCACTGTTACTATTTGCTTTGCTTGTTAATTGCCTTGTGACTTCTTTTTAATACAACATTAGTCATACTAAAATACGGACATTTTAGATAATTAGAGGCCCTGCCGCTGCTCTATTACATAAAGATAAAATGAGAAAAATATCTTTATTTTTTGTCAAATTATTTTAACTCATTGTTTATTAAATTGAAGGTATGTTTGGCCTTTTATTCTTATTTAACAAAAATTTTTACGGAATGATCAAAATGATTGATGGTGGACAAACTCAAGAATTACTTCTATCGATTTCAAATCTTAGAAACTAAAGTAAGGAGTTATGTCAATTTCATGACCATTTTAGCTAAAAATCTTTTACTTATTTAGTTATTTTTTTTGTAGGTCATCTGGCCTCCACAAATAAAAAGAGGGCTTTTTTTTTTTTTTGCTAAATTCTTTAATTTAATATTTTATAAAAAAAATTATGTGCACAATGACATGAAAATATTCTCTAACGTAGAGAGAATTGCACGTATAGATATTAAAAAAGGAAAACTAGTAAAATGTGTTTGAAAATTTTGAGTTTTAAAGACAAAATAAAGGATAAAGTGAATAATAAAAATTAATTTTTTAATGTAAAAATATGATTTTTTTGTTAAAATTAATAATACCAGAACTTTTTGTTAAATTGACTATTAAAAAAGGAATCGATTTGATTCAGGTTTTATCAATGTGAATACAAAAGTTTGTCCTATTCGGTCTCTAGGTTCGGTTTTTGTTTGAAACTAAAAATCAAGCATAAATGATAGGTTCAATTCAATTTGATTTTGTAAAAGAAAATTGCTATATCAATTCAACCATACCAAAACTGACTCAAGTCGATTTGGTTGGTTCGGTTTTGTTTGTAATGACTCTGGAGGAAGTGAGAGAACGAATGCGCAATGTCCTGTCTCTCACGGATGTCACACGCTTTCCGATACAATGATTAGGATTCCTTGCCCTTTGACTTTAACTTTAAGAAATTTTAACGAAAAGTTCGCGGTACTGTTTATTTTAATAAAAAATTACATTTTTACACTAAAAAAACTATTTACTTTACCCTTTATTTTGTCTTTATCGTTAAAACTCAAAGTTTTTAAGCTATTTTCATTAGTTTTTCTTTAACTTTAGGATTTCTTGTCTATTAGGATTAGGTTTAGTTCATTATAGAGTAAATTGTAGCTATAGTTCCTTAATTTTAAATCAATTGGAGCAATAATTTCTCAACTAAAAATTCATTACCATTAGTCCCTCAACTTTAATTCAACTAGAGAAATGATCTCTTAACTTTAACCCAATTGTAGCAATGATCCTTCTAACATAACTCGTTTTGACAAAAATTTTGAAGTAGTTGACAAAAAGAACCATAATTACACACTTTAATGAGCTAAGGGACCTTAATTATATAAATGGTTATTCCAACATAATTTATTTTGACAATTTTGACGAAATTGATGAAAATGACTATAGCTATACATTTTGATAAGTTGAGGGACAAATAGTAATGAATTTTTAGTTGAGAGACCATTGTTTTAATTTGATTAAAATTGATGAACCATTGCTACAATTTACTTTTCACTATATATAATAGTGCTTGTATTTTATTATAAACAAGTTAGTCACAATGCAGTTATCTGAATTGTAGCTTTTTCGACGAATCTTGTAGTGTTTCTAATATTCGTAATTTTGCAATCCATTTATTCTTTTGTTGTTATGTGTACTATGATTTTCAACTTTTATGAAGTTACCTTTCTGCTCATTTGTTATTAACCAACCTTTATGACTATTAGCGTTTACCCATTTCCTGTTCTTGAAAATAACTTGACCATTGTATGCTACTCTGAATAAGTCGTCATGGAATGTAAAGTCTTGTTTTTTGGTTTTTATGACTAGCTAGCTTTCCAAGTTTCTTCCTTTAACCACAATTATGTTTCAGGATGATGGGTGCTGGAGCTTCAAAAAGCTTGGCCGGGTTCAGAAGTAAGATGGGTCACTGGTGGGCATGACTCATCGTTCCTTCTCCACAACAGTGAGTTCCGCAGGGCTATTGGTGACGGACTTGACAGATTGCCATGGAAGGAGTCTCCATTGTGACGTTGGCAACACCAGTGAAGAAGACCCTACACTTATTCCGATGTGGTAACCTTTGCCTCTAATTTACGCCAAACTTGTTAAAAACTGGATATAGTTGATATCCGAAACACCCGCATAAATAATGCGAAAACGGGGTGGTTTCTTTCATGAAATATTATTTCCTGACTTATTTTCATTCATCCATTTCCTGTCGTATTCTAATTTCCGACTTCCCAAACAGTATCCTGGTTTAGGAACATTGAAGAGAAAAAAGATCGGCAAAGTTTATTATGTTTCTGTTTTTTGACAAGTAAATTATTGGCCAAGTTTATTCGCTATAATCTTTTCTTTTACATGGATTATTCGCTATAAATCTGTGTTCTATATGCAGTTGTAAAATGCATGAACAAATCTTATTAATTACTTTTAAATGAGCTACACTGCTGCCATGACTGGTCGCTTATTTGTATGACCAAACACCTGTTTAAACAGCAACTATTCGGAAAGTGCTGGCCAAATCTGCAGTTGTGGCCATTACTTGCAGCTTGGGAGTGGAGCACCGCACAAGCATCGGTTATGGAAATAAGAATACTCGTCGAAGCTCTGCAACTTTCCACCCACTGGAATCTGACCACACAGCCTGTTGTAGCTCACGTTCAGGAACTGGAAATTCAGTTGGGTAAACTCCACTGGGATACTCCCGTAGATCTTATTGTGGTTGATATCCAGCGAGGTCAAGCTTGTCGGAAACTCCACCTTTGACAGATTAAATTCCAGCAAGTTCCTGGACAGGTCCACAATCTGGGTTGTCTTGTTCAGCCCAAATATCACGGATGCGTCACCTTCGAGCTTGTTCCGTGATAAGTCTATGCTGGTGAAGTCCATCTGAGCGAATGAGGTTGGAATGTTGCCAGAGAGCTGGTTGTGGGAGAGATACAGGTCTGGAACGTTGCCAATGAACTGCCCAAGCGATTTCGGAATATGACCTGTGAGCTTATTGCGGTCTAGATGAAGAGCGTTGAGGTTTGGGAGCTGAGAAAGCGAGCTGGGGATGGCGCCGGTGAGGTTGTTGAAGGAGAGGTCGAGGAATGTGAGGTTCTTGAGTTGGCTGAGGAAGTCAGGGACAGAGCCTGAGAGGTTGGTCCAGCTGAGCCTGAGAAACTTGAGTCCTTTGAGCTTGGCAATGGCGGGTTGGATTGGGCCAGTGAGATTAGGTTGCTTGTGGAATTCAAGGGTTTCAAGGTATGGCAAGTCTCCGACTAGGGCTGGGATTTGGCCGGATACCTGGCCGGCGAAGATGGTGAGGGAGTTGATGCGGTTTGTGGTGGAGTCACAGGTGACGCAGTACCAATCACAACAGTCAGTGTCTGATTTCCATGAGGTCAAGACGTAGGGGTCGCCGAAGGCTTTCTTGATTTGTAGGAGGACTTTTTTGTCGTCGGGGTTGCAGAGATCGGAGAGAGCGGGTTTTAGGACGGAGGAGAAGAGTAGGGTTAGGGAGAGGAAGATGGAGAACTTGAGTTCCATTGTTTTGGGTTTTGGTTGGGAGCCCGAGAGATGTGAATTTGTGGTTCAAAGAAGTGTGGAATTTATAGGTATTGCATTCGGCCATCGAAGTCAAAAGTGTTTTGGGATAATGGGTGATGCATGTACCGACTAAAGTTTGGACAAGTCAAAGATCTTGTGCACAATAAATCGACATAAAAAAAGTAAGCATGCTTTGCCC